TACAACACAGTCCCAAAGTTATGAATATTGTAGCACCGCAGCAGTTGCTCATCTTTAGAATGACCGCAGAGACACCACAACATTCACCCTATTTCTTCCCCCCCAACCCCCTGCTGGGTCTCCACAGGCACTGGGCCTATGGAGACTCACCTTGTGAAGATCTAACTAGTCTTCGGTTTCTTGCGCTACTTTACCCCTGTGTTCTTTGTGAATTGGGGCCTGGATGAGATCTGCAACAACAAGCTTTGCAAACAGGGAACTTTGCTTCTTCAGGCCCTCTCTCCATTTGCCGTTTACTTGCTGAAGTCTGCAGGAGCGAGAGATTGCATCCTTTTAGGCTCCAATCATCTTTGCAAAAAGCCTTTGCCAGCAAGAACAAAGCCTGGGGCAGCGCATCCCTTCTGGACTGCATTTTTGCCGGCAAAGGCTTTTTGCAAAGAATATCAGAGGCTAGAGGGACACAATCTCCCTCTAGGCTCCGATCATCTTTGCAAAATGCCCATGCCATCAAAAATGAAGCTGCACCAAAAACAGCCGCTGATGTCCCTCCCGGGCTCCATTTTCACCTCGGCTCCGTTTTCAGAAGCAAGGGCTGAAAACAGAGACACTGTCGTGTTCTCCCATGCTCCGTTTTTGGTAAGCCTTTGCTCAAGGCGAAACCACAATAGAGAGGCTGGAAAGGAGACAGCTCATTGAGATCTTCAAAAGGTAAATGGACCTGGTTGGGTAGGATTGGGGGGGGGGCAGGGGAAGCATGAGCCTTGGGTGATTGGAAGCACCCACCTTGAGATGCCTCGTGCACATTACAACCCGCGCATTTGGTTAGCAAATGCATGAGCAAAGGCAGGGAGTTTTCACTTTCATTTAACTTGATTCACTCCAACAAATCCTTGGGTTACGAATATAATTGGCAGGCTCCATTACATTTGTAACTCGAATCCCAAAACTTAAACACTGTCAGCATTGACAATTTCACCATTTGCAAAATTGCAAATGGTAGCTTTACATCTTGCGACAATCTCTGTACCACCATCAAACATCTGCCTCTCCCAACTCCTTGGGAAGGACTCAATAAGTCAACAGAAATGCCAAATCCCGTCTGAAAATCTGGCTGACTGTGTGACAAACCTCTGTGTGTGTGTGTTTGATGATATATATATAATCATCATTTTAGCCATTATCTATCCACTGCAGGATGAAAGCCTCCTCCAGATATTTCTAACCAACATCCCCATTAAAAGAAAAACAGGTCAGCTCAAAGAAAAATATTTTTAAATGAAAAGGACCACAGCTGGGAATGTAGGTACCAGCTGGGATTTGAACCTCGGTCTCCCGCACCAAAATGAAGGCAACAACCGCTACTCAATGCAGCCACCTGCTATTCTTACCCCTTAAGAGAAGCATGGAGTGCTGGTGCTTTTGCTGCTACTCTGCACTTTGGAGACTCCTCGGCTGCAGCAATCCTGGGAGTGGGGGAGGATGACATTGCCCTCCCTTTTTTTCTTTTCTTAACAGTAAAACCTCATTGTGCAAGCAATATTTTTATCTTTTTTTTCTTCTTAACTGCAATTTGGTTGGATAAACTATCACAACACAATCTTTCTTTCCTCTTTCACTTCCCATTAGCTAACATTCATTTTACTTGAGCATTAATCAGATTCCCGTTATTTCATTTGTCAATGTGCTCATAAAATTTTTCTACCAGGCATTAAAGGCATTTATATGGAGTGACATCTTTCAAAAGCAATGAGGTGAATCCCAGTTCAGGGCTATTAGATTGTGACAAGACATTTGATGGTTATATTTTGTGTACCAGCTGTGCCAAAAATCATTTGCAATATACATCCATAAATTATTTCCATCCAATGCTTATGATGAAAGAATTAAAAATTAGCACCAGACACTACTTGCAAATATAATTGCTGCTTTTAGTTACACATCCGGTTCACATGTGAATTTCTCAATGAATTCCATGATAGAGCAAAATTCTTCAGTTATTACGATCATTTTTAGAGCTGTCATTGGACCCCGTTGAAAGGAGAAAAGGGAATGTTCCACGTGAAACATCCCTTCATTTGCTTTCCTATCAGTCATCTTTAACGCAAGCATTCCAAGGCCTCGTGCTGTCTGACAGCTGGTGCTCCAGAGGTGCTTCATGCATATGTGAATGGAGCATGTAATTATGTGGGATACAATGGTTGTTAGGCGCTTGTTGAAGTGGGATGAAACTTGAACTTGTTGAATTAGGAGCTAGTTCAGTCCGTGGGAAATGCTGGTGGATGCCACATGCAGAGTCTGGATTAAAATCTTTTGAAGAATAACAGAGTTGGAAGGGATCTCGGAGCTCTTCTAATCCAACTCCCTGCTCAGGCAGGAGACCCTGTACCATTTCAGACAAGTGGCTGTTTAATCTCTTCTTTAACCTCCAGTGATGGGAGGGCCCACAACTTCTGAAGGCAAGTGGTTCCACTGACTAATTGTTCTCACTGTCCGGAAATAGCTCCTTAGTTCCAGGTGGCTTCTCTCCTTGATTAGTTTCCATCTGTTGATTAGTTCAGAAATGGAGTAGCTCCACAAAATATGTGGTACTTCATGCCATTTTTTCCCCTGCTCTCTAGTACTTGCAAGCTGCATCACATCCATTGTCAAACTATGACCATGCAATTTTCCTTTTTTAATGTGAAAGGATTGAAATCCGTTTGAAACTTTTTAACACATGTGTCGAAGCCTGCCCAGGAATTGCATGGTCCTGTTATTGGTGAAAGGAGTGCTTTGCAGCCTCTTTATGAGCAGTTCTCTCCCAGGTTGATTTTTTTCCCCCTCTGAAGGAAAAGCAGCTGACTCAGGTGGACTCCTGCTACGAAGAGACTCTATCTGGATTTGGGGGGGGGGAGGTCTTTTTCACAGGAGAGAGGAAAAAGAGGCCATTGTGGGAGAAGAAAACACATTTAGGACAAAGCCAGCCTGGAGCCCAGGACAGAGTCCTGCTGGAGGCAGGGACTGTTTCACCCAAGCAGGAGGCAGGATTGGCCTCAGCAGTCAAACCAAATCCCCACCCTCTAATCCTTGCAGAAAAGCCCAGAAAATGCCAGCCGGCAAACCTGAAGGGCTAAAGGGTTCCTGGTAGTGAGAATCTGAATTTCTCCACTCTCTCAGTTGATATAAGGGAAAGGAGGAGAGGGAATAAATTATAAAAACTCACATAAATATTAACAAACTCATAGTATAATCAAGCTTAATTTTGCTGCTCTACTTGCATGGGGAGGATATAATAGATTCTGTGGCTTTTCTGCTGCTTCTTGATTGTTTCCAAAAAATGTCTGTGTTGCATTCTCAACCAGATAGGAAGACTGTCGAGAGAACTAGATGGAGTGATGGGCACCCCTAAAGGCTCAGTGCCATCCACTGGGCCTTGAGCTTTCAGAAAAGCTTGCTTGACCTCTGTTATGCCCCAGGAATGAGGCTGTTCAATGTGCTGCTCTTGCAACTTGAACCCAGGACAAGACATAAGAACAGGTGAATTTTCCTTCTCAGTGAGTGTCACAACAAACCATTCTTAATGTACATGGGGCAGGGAGGTGGGTGCTTTAAAGGGCTCTTTTGGCCACTGTTAAGGTTGCAAGCATTGTGGGTGCTCCCCTCCACACTCTTGGAGTTATCATTTGGGTTGATAGGAGTTGAAATAGAAGGAAGCAACCAGGAGCAAACCATCTCCAACTGGTGCTAACTGGGCAGCAGCTACGGTGATCAGAAGCAAGCAGCCCTCGGAGTGGGCCAAACGGCGCGCCCACCTCAAGGCGGCAGGAGCAGCAGCAACAGCCAAGAATGGGGTCCAGCTCAACTCTTGGCCAGCGGAAACCGCAAACTACACACACACACACACACACACCCACACTACACACACACACACACACGCAAACTACACACACACACACACACACACACACACACACACACACACACACACACACACACACACACACCATGGTAGCTGGGTGTTCGGACAGTCACAAAAGCCCACGCTGTGGTCAGAGGGAGGAGAGCCCGAGGCGGCGCTCGGGAAAGGACCCCCAGTCTCTTCGCCCAGGCCGGCCTTTCTCGACCTCGGCAGCTTTAAGACCGGAGGGAGCGGGAACGGGAGGGAGGGACCTTCAACTTCCAGAATTCCCCTGCAGACATCTCCACGCTCCCAGCCCGACAAAGGTTGGTCTAGGCAGCCGAGGGGGGAGAACGACCGAGCGCTACAAATCACTGCGATCCTGGCGCTCTCCGGACGCACCGGGCGAGAGGCTTCCCGAAGCAGACGTCGAAGCGGGCGCCAACGGTCCAATGGATCGGGGACCCTTCTCGAGGGCAGCTCCGCCGAGCGCCGCTGATCCCGGAGGCTCCGGGGCATCTGCCGCGGAGATTTTAGAAAGCCCCACTGGGAGGAATCCGGGGCTCCGCAGGGCGACTCTCGGGGCCCCAGCCCGCCCCGCCACCTGGGCCCCCACAGCCGAGGAGAGGCGCTCGCTCCGCCGCAAAAGTTTCCTGCCTGCGAGCTGATGCCGGACCGCGCGGGGCTTCCCGACCGGGGGCGCCGCTCGGGGGCAGCGCGCCCTCCCCCCCTAGTTCTGCCTTTCGGCTGCGCCTTTTTCGGCCGGGCTGGGGCGGGGGCTCCGCACTCCCGCCCTCGCCCACCCCTCGCAAAGCTCGCGGCGCCCCGCCTAGTTTAGTCCAGGCTGAGTCCTGCCCGCCCCCCCCCCCGCCCGGCTCTCCACTCCTCCGCGCGTGGCGGGCGCTCCCTGGCTGCGCACTCGCCGGGTCCACCTGCGCGGGACGGAGCGGCCTCTCCTCCGCAGGTTGGGCGCGGGCGAGATCGGCCTGCCGGACGAGCAGGCGGGGGGCGGCCGGAGGAGGAGGAGGAGGAGGTGGGTCGCGGGGCTGGGGGCTGCGCAGGAGGGCCGGGGCGGTAGGCGGGGAGCCGCTCGGCCGGGGAGGGTCGACGTGGGGGAAGCCGGGCGCCTCCCGGACTCGGGCGTCGCTTCCGCCGCTCCTCTCTCGCGGTCCCGGAGCGCTGCTTCGCGGGTTAGTTGGGCCGGTCCCTCTCGGCTCAACCGCCTCGCAGGGGTGTTGGATAGAGAAAATAAGGGGCCGGAGTGTTAGCAATCTTTGCCGCTTTGAATTATATACTTTATAAAAAGTCGTGATAAAATCATAATAAGACTAACCCGAGTTGCTGACATTCTGCTCTTGAATCTGAACGTCATCGATGCGTGAAAATTGGAATTAGTAGAAAACAGTCCAGCAGAAGCTATTGGGTGCTTTTGGACTATTAACGTATTTTCTTGCAGTTTTTTTTAACCGTGCTCTCTGCAGTATTCACTTCCTATCGAAGTTGATTAGGCTTCTGTCTAATAACATGCAAGGATTAAGGAACATAATGGGACTAATTATTGAAAAAGAAACCATGAACAGAGTAGAAGTTTTATTGTTGGAAAAAATGTGCTAAATTATGATAGGTTATTGGAAAAACCATTTAAGGTTAGTATGATAGCCAATAAACTGATTTTACGTCTGGGACAATATAGATAGGATTACACTACAAATTAATGTTAAAACTATTTCTGAAATTATCTTCAACTGAACATATAAAATAAAGTTTGTTGTTTCTTTAAAGCTCTCTTTAGAATGTGCACTTCTCAGTAGGCACCTCTGGAAATTCATCTATAGAGGAAAGGAAATGTGAATGCCATAGAAATACATACTGCCCTATAATTTTTTGGATGCTGCCAGAAAGGAATTAAAGACTATGACAGGATTTGCTGGAAATGTAGGCAAGATGCAGCATAGGTGAGAAAATGTCTGATGGGGCATTCATCGCATTGAGTGATTTTTGTGATTTATTTTATTTTTTTCCTGAAAATGTGTTTGTGTTCATCCTGACAGCAGCAGATTGCCTGCTGCTCTAATTTCCAAGGAATCCAGAAGGTCGAGTTTTCTGTTTTTCCTTTTCTGCTAATATCCATGGTCAAACTTCATTATCTTCCCCTCCATTCCTGTGTTTTTTCCCTTGAGGACGGGTCAGAGGGTGAGGAAACACAACACTAGTGCAGAGCTTTAGATTTGATTCTGAGAATGTGTTTGGAAGTGCAGGAGGAGAGGGATTGTGTGGGAGGGAAGGCTCCATGCAACCCCCCCCCTTTTTATGTTCTTTTATTATGCAGTAGATTTTTTATATGTTGTACCTGAGTCACCTATGTCTGTGTTAGACAGCTATATAAATTTATTTAATAAAAAATAATAAAAATAAACATTGCCTCCCGTTGTGAGGAGTATGAGATTCAGTACTGCATGTCCCTGCAACAATTCCCAGCAACATTTGCACATATCCTTTGCTCAAGACCTTTGGAGAAGCTGTTTTAATGGTTTTGCAAAACAGAATGTTAATCTAGGTCATCAAGGGTCACTCTTAGTTTGGTTACTAAATTTCTCCCAACCAAGAGTCTGTTCCATTGATTATATTTATTTGATTTCTCTTGTTCTAGAACTCGATTTTCCAGATTTCAAGAAAGCCTCCTGGTGCGTTCTTGCTCATTTCCTCCACTTTCTGAAGAACGGGGTTCAGCTCTGAAGAAAAGTTTTTCCTCCAAAGATGGTGAAAAGCAGATTTATGGAACAATCCACAAATTTCCATGGTTTGTCTAGGGACTTTAAGTTTAAAATGGTCACTTCCTTTGAAGGGAGGAGAATGAACAGCCATGAAACGGAGAGCTGTCAGAACAGGAAACCTACCTTGTGTGAGAAAGCAAATTGCCTACTGGAGGAAGCAGCATACAAGGATGGAAGAACCGCGGAGCACATCTTAAGGGAACCCTGCTGGACGTTTGGTATCAGGAAACACATATTAGTCGAGGAGGTGCTGCGACCAAAGGAGAGTGCGTTCACTGAAGTGAGGAGGTCTGTAGAGAAAATCAAAGAGGCAGAACAAGGAAATAGGAAGGCTGGTTTGGACAAAGCTGCAGTCTGGAGTTCCCCTGGCAGCGCATTCTCCGCTGTGTGGCCCAATAGCATTGCTGGGGAACCCAAAAGTGCTTTCAGCAAACCAGCCAAGTGCCGGGAAGATGGAGGGGCTCCAGCTGCTTTTCGACCTCTGAAGGGTATCAAGAAAGGAAGCCCAAGGAAGTTGCCGGAATGCCTCGGTGCCACTGACCTCATACCATACAGTGGCCGCCTCGCTTCTGGGTTCCTGGTAAGTGATTCAGACGGTTTCCAGCTGCTGTCAACCAACCCCATCTGGAGCAACCCGTTCTCTTTCTCTTCGGCCCCGTGGCCAAAGGAAGTAGGCGAGCGAACGCAGGCCATCCCTGCTTCCTCTGCCTCTTGGGCAGTGCTGCCTTCCACTCTCGCCCCTTTCAGTGTGGCAGCCCAGAACTGGTGTGCCAAGTGCAGCCTTTCCTTCCACATGACATCGGACCTTGTGCTGCACATGCGTTCCCATCACAAAAAGGTAGAAGTCTCGACAGAATCCCAGAAGAAAAGGAGACGGGAGGAAAAGCTGTCCTGTCCTGTTTGCCAGGAATATTTTCGAGAAAGGCATCATTTATCTCGGCACATGACTTCTCACAACTAGTCTGCAGCTGTAATGTAATGGATGTCTGCTTGTTGGATATGTTTGTGTGCACGTGTTGGTTGAATTCCATTGTGGTTTTACTGCATTTAACCAGAATCTTCAAAAGTCAGCCTGTTGTAGAAGCATTCAGAATAAATGTAATTACACAAGCTCCAGATAGCTCCAGTTCTGAAAATGAAATACACTTATAAGGAAATAAACAGTGAGATGTAAAGAGAAAAGTTTTGCTTTCTGAAGATCCATTTTATTCAACCTAAACTATGAAAATGTTGATAATTTTTTTTTTAGTAATTTGAAGCAGCAACTTTTTCCATACCAGAGCCATTGTGGAATGAAATTCTTCCCTAGGATGGAAGTAAAGGATAAAATTTCTTTTAAGTTAAGCTTGACTCCTGATGACCATCAGAGCAAATCCATGTCATTTTACTGGTGTAATAAAATGCTCTTCAGTTGTGCCACAGTGTTGCACCACACAGTAATAAGCAGGGCGGGAGGGCGGGGGAGGGTATCTCAACTGGGACTGAACAGGTGAGGATGGAAATGCCAGCCTCCCAGTTCACATCCACAAATTGTCTGCAAGCTTTTGAAAGAGGGCGCAGTGATGAGAATAAGAGAAGCAGGACGTATCGCTTTGGGGCATCCAATCCAGTGCAAGAGTCCAAATTAAACCACTCCCAACAGGTATCTAATTTTTCAGCCACATCATATTGTGGATTATGGATAGCACAAGTGACATAAAGGTCAAGATTATCTTTGAATGGGTGACAGCTTGCCTCCACGTACCAATTTCAGGGAGCAATTTTACCCCTTCAAGTTACATTTAAGAACTGGATTGGGTATCAGTATTCTAAATATAAATATGGTTTTATTCCATATATTTTTCTACTATTGAGATTGTAAAGATATTTGTTGTATCAGAAGTCTGAAACAAAGTTGTACAACTAATGTAATAGGTGTTCAGTGGTCAAATACTAATGGTATGTGCTTTTATTTGCATTTTATCTTACTTTTGTAACTGACATCTGTTCTGAGGCAGGGCAGGCAAAGAATTACTCCATTTAGTCCAAAGCCTTTTGAAGTGACATCAACAATTTTGTTCATTACAAAAATAGGTATATTGCACCATTTATATTGCACTATATATAAATATATATTGTACTATCTATACATATATATATATATTGGAAGACCTAGAGTGATGTGATGTCTGGCATGAATTTACAAGGCCAAAATGCAGTCTCAAGGGAAGGGAACTGGATGTCCTTTTGCCTTCATGCAAACGCCTGGTTTGATCTGCTAATCTAACTCAGACTATGGAGGTGGGAAACAAGAATCTCTTTGGCTTGGATGAGAGATTTCTCAATGGGAACCGCCACGTGAGGATCCACTCCGACACCCTCCCAAGAGTCCTCAGAAGAAATAGTGGATCTAGAAGTTGGGATGGTGACATAGAGGCCAGTCCCATCCACATGAAACGTCTGAGGAGGGAGGCAACCCCCACTGGTCCTTTGTCCGATGACCAAGGCTCTGCCCAGCCTCTTCATGATGGACACAAATTGTTCAGCAGTCCCAGCGGTCACAGAGCTGGTGAGAATGACCACGCTTTTCTCGGAGCCGTACCTCTGACCTTGAAGAGACAGGAGAAGATGCAGAAAATCAGTCTCACCGGACTGTAAATTTGATCAGAACCCATATTAAAATTAATATCCCTCTGATAGGCATTGTGTGATCCTGGGGTTGTGCAATCCCCATTTGCTACTTTTCCAGCTGTTGTCTGACAAGCGAAGTGGAGTCAGATTCGCTTAATGACCACATGATTCAGTTAACTGCAATTCATTCGACACCCGGGCACTATGTGTCGGACTGTCTCTGAGGCCTCTCTCCACAGTCTGCACCTTGGGCCCTGCCTCACATGGCAGGCCCTGTTCTAGGACAGAGGTCCCCAACCTTTTGGGCATCAGGAACCAGTTCCATGGAGAAAGGTTTTTCCATGGACTGGAGAGTGCGTGGTTTTGTGTGCTGCCTGCATCCTGTAGATGAGGCTTTGCTTGTTTGTGCAGGCCGGTTACTGGCATGCTGCAGCCCGGTACCAGTCCACGGACCAGGTGTTGGAGACCCCTGTTCTAGGGATCTGGTCCTTAGACATGGCTGAGCTGGCTTTGTGTCTCTGTGCCAGTCAATGATTTTGCTCTGGGGTTATGCCAGCCTATGACCCATGTCTGCAATAGTTTAATAGATTGAAGTGCTACCTTTAGCTACAATGTGCAGTAGGTAAAGATAAATACTGACATTCACAAGTTTAAATGTTGTTACCTAAAAGTTGGGAAAGAGTCCAAAGGTCACTGGGAGTATTATTGGGTCTGTAGTAGACTTTGTCCAGTAGAACTGGATGTCCTTCATCGAAGAAGTAAGAGCACAGAGTTGCCACAGAGGAGACGGGCCCCGTTCCGGTGTTGTACCTGGTTAGGCATGGAAGACATTTTGGGAAGCAGGCACTGATGAGGAAACCTGGGATTAGGCAACCCTACCTTATCACAACTTCTAGTCTCTGATCCCCCCGAAGCAGTCTGAAAATGATCCACAATCATATCTTGAAATGCTCAGAACAAAGAGCAAAACCATCTTGACTGCCCTAAGTGGCAGCCATAACAATCCCTAACAGACAGAAAATTTCTAACTCTTTGATTCCATATAACAGTCATATGAATTTTTCCAGCCCAGATCTCATAACCCAACTCCAGTTAAAAGAGAAAATAACTGTTTGCATCGCACTTTCCCATTTCTGTTCTTCTGTTTCGTCTGATTTTTTAAAAAATTTGCCTGTAAAAAATTCATCAAGCCATAGATACGCTAGAAAGATTTAGAAATCTGGAATGCAGGACAAAGCAAGACTTCGTGATCTATCTAGAACAGGGGTAGGCAACCTTGGCTCTTTTATGACTCGTGGACTTCAACTCCCAGAATTCCTGATTCAGCCACGCTGAGGGGCAAGGGAGAAGCTTCCAAGCTGAGCCAAGCTGGCTCAGGAATTCTGGGAATTGAAGTCCACGAGTCATAAAAGAGACAAGGTTGCCTATCCTGACGTAGAAGCTCTACAAAACCACATCACTTAATAAAAAGTAATTAGTTTTATTATTCAAGTATTGCTTTGGTAGAAATAAATTGTCAGATTTCAGCTGATGCCATGGGACCCTGAAGGGTCCCTAGTGGTTCTGAACTGTTGCAATGTCCTTACGAGAAAATACCAAGACCTTCTTGAAGTCTAATAATAACAGTGGCTGAACCAGACGGGCTAAGGCTGTAGTGCTTTTCATGGGCCCAGAAAAAAGATGTCGAAGGAGACGTGGCTCCTGCCGTTCAACCTATGTTTTATATTGATAAAAAGGCTTTCTAGAAACCAGCTGTAACATCAAATAGCCTGATTGTGCTGGTTTTGTGCTTTGAGAAGGGCCTCAACTGCACCGAGGAAAACATTGCTGCATCTTCCCACTGATTTATTTCAAATTCAAGAGATTGGAGGTTCTGTACCTCGATCACACATATTTTTGAATAGATCCCAAGAGGTCAAATTTTGGATGTATTGATATTATGACCTCCATCCCAGTACCCGACCTCCATCCATGCATTTATCTCGAAGGGTAGATCCCTCTTGCAAGGAATACATAGCTCATAATCTGGTCAATGATGGCCTCTCAACACAGACTGCAATTATGTTGGGCCCAGGAATTTGACAAGTATCTTTGCAGCAAAGCATATATTTCAAAAGTTTTGTCTTCGTTGCTTATTCTGCTTAGGATGGATGGTTTACCTCATGTCAAGGATTAGTGCTTCCGTGTGGACCACCTTCTTCCAGACATTTTCCACCATCAGCTCAGAGAACCAAGGCCAAAGGTCACCGTCCCAAAACGTATCAAATCTGAGGTAACCAATGTTATTCTTGAACACTTTGGTTTGGAAAGAAAACTTAATGTGGTCTTCTAACATTTCTGGGGAAAGAATCTGAAATATTTTTTAAAAATAAGTAATTTTCAAGAATACATGAGAATCCACCTTGCATTAAAATCACATCTTGCAAATAGAGAGTTGGGGTGATCTGGACTGAAATCTTCACTTAAATTAGTCAACATCACAGCACTGACAAGAATGAATGAATGAATGAATGAATGAACAAATAAATGGAAATCACTCAAACTAAAGTTTATCTATTTAATGTCTTTTCTAATCTGTATTTTAATGAAATGGTTATCAGGAACTAGTCACACTGAGCCCTCTGGGACAAGTCGGTTAAAATTATTTTATAATTTTTAAAATATTTACGGCAAGAATTTTATTTTTAACGGAATACTGATTAAAACCAAAATCAAAATGTAAACCTGTTAAGCTGTGCACCTGTGATTTCAATCTATAACTCAGTTAAGCATTAGCATAACACAAATAAAGTTGCAAGTTGAAACGTAAGATTTGAACTGTGAGATAAAATATTAATAACACAATGAGAGTATTAGGACAAAAACTACAGGAGTATGGTTACCCCTGCTCAATATCTAAAAGATTACACCCGTACACTCGAGATTATAAGTGAATAAGTGTGAGAAAAAATAGAAAAGAATGCATTATTGCCAATTCTATAATTGGAGTAAAAGTGAGATTAAAATTAATGGAGCTAAATAGTTATAAGTGAGACTAAAATTCATGGAGCTAAATATAGTTATGATAGCAAAATCTATAAATCACTATGATACTTACTTGATTAACTTAGCTTCCAAATGCCTGACCTAGTTTTCATTTTGCTAAAAATATGAAAGACAAAAACAGAAACCAAAGCTACACAGGGAAAGCAATAATAAAATAATGTAACAAAACACAGTAAACTAAATAATATTAACTGAGGTGTTACAGTAGAAACTTAGGAGGTGTTACTTGAACAAATCCAGTTCTTGAGGCAAATTCAAAGGGATTTATCCCATCCATAGTAAATATGAACCTATTCACACAAGTTTTATGTCAGTGGCTAATGAAACAAGTTAACGGGCACTTACTTGCATGGGCATGATCCCTGGAATATGGTTGCGTGGGTGCTCAGGAATATGGGTTATTTTCAAGTGTTTATCTCCAGAAAGAGCTTTTAGGTCAGCTGCAATTTTTTCAGCAAGTTTCATTTCACAATTGATCTTCCGGTATGTCTCTTTTTTGGCATCATCGGAAAGTTTGTCTGCCACCATAGCCCCAACATCAGCAAAAGCGTAGTTGTCAGCCACCAGTTTGCCCACCGTCTGCAAAATGCTGGGGAGGCTGGAGCGCAAAGCAACAATATTCAGGGCGGAAGTCATGGCTTCTGAAGCCTGACTGGTGACATGTGGCTGTACGCCAGAGAGGCTCCACACTTTGCCTGTGACGGGGCTCAGCACCACCTTGCTGGGGATGGAAGCATACAAGGGGCTGCTGCCCAAATGGTAAACACTTGCAGACAGCGAGCCTCCCAGCGTGGGCTCCCCAATGACTGTGGCCCGATTGAGATCCTTCAGAGAGCGAACGAAGGCTTCAGCTGCCGATCCACTCACGTGGCTAACTAAGATGTAGATATCCTTCGCCGAGCCATATCGTTTGCCAGAGAGATGTGGCAAGGTCCACACTTCTGTGCTTCGAGTGGTGCTGCGGTCAAAGAGTGTGTAAAGGTGCTGCTGGGGCTCACTGTCAAAGAAATAGGAACAAAAGATGGGCACTGCGGTGGAATAACTGCCCGTGTTGTAGCGCATGTCAACAATCATAGCATCTGTGGTCACAAGCTTGTCCCAAATATGCAATAGTTGGGGTCCCATGGCCTTCATCATCTCTGCTTCAGCAATTAAGTCAAAGCGCAAATATCCTACATTGCCAGGCAAAATGTCTACCTTGAACAGATCCTCAATTATGTAGCGGATCTCCTCAGGGGTCAGAGTCTTGTTGGGAAGCTGTTCTTGTAAGAAAGTTTCCACATGGTTGTAAGATGTATGCAACTGGTGATCCCCAGAAGCTTCTTGAAGGTCAGTAGTCAACTGCAAGGCAAGCATTTCAAAATCCACTGCTGTGCGATAGCCTCCTTGAGCCAGCTTGGAGTTTAATATGCTTCTTGCCCGTGTGGCCACCTCTGGTATGGCGTAATGAGCTTCAAGCAACAGCCCAAGCTCCTCAATCAGTGCTCCCATCTCTCTGTGGAATGCCAACACTTCTCGGGCTTTCTCCAGAGCCTCATCGGCCAGCACGATGGCATCAGGCACCACTTCGCCATCCAGCCAATATTCACCATGGTGATCAATGAAGGTGACAAATGGCACATTGATAAAGAGGCTGCAGCCTTCCTCTTCTTTTAATCTGAGTATGCAGAAGGGGTGCGAGTGGGCCAGGCTGCCGGCAGTAATTTCACCAATCAGAGTAGCCCGGCCGAGGGATTGCATCAGGTAGGCAAACTCCTCCGCCGTTGTAGCTGTGAGATAGCTGGTGAGTAAATAGATGCCACGCTGGGTCCCATAGGGCTTGCCTAGCAATTCAACTCTACTGTTGTAAATGTGGGTCTGGTTTGTGAGTCTGTTATAGGTGGTAAACAAATGCACAGGACCAGCAGACGGATCTTGGAAGTAAGATAATAGGACTGGTACAGCATCTGAAAATGGTCCACCATGGTTGTAGCGCAGGTCAATGATCAAATAATCTGTTGCCTGCAAAGGTTCCCAGACTTGATTGATGATGTAGGGCTCCAGCTTGATCAGCACTCCAGCATCAGGAAATTGATCAAAACGCAAGTAACCTACATTTTCAGATAGTATTGACACTTGAAAAACAGCAGCCAGGAT